CCCTGCCACGCCCACCAAGCCACGGCCACCAAGCCACGGCCATAGAACCAGTAGTAAAAAAATTTGGATTTCACCACTGCCTGGCATGTAGAGTAATCCGCGAACAGCAAAGTAGCTTTCCTTACTCAATGCCATCTATGTAGGCTGGATTATGACTTCCATTATTCCTCAGGATGGTGAGAAGTATAATATAGCATTTTAGCATTACAGAAATGATTTGGAAAATAATTTGAATGCAGAGGAGCACAAATATAGTATCTAAAATTGTTTAAAACAACCACATCTTTTTCTGTGATCTTGGGGAATTGTGTGTAACAACAGAGTTGGAAGGGACCTTGGAGGTCATCTAGTCCAACCCCCTGCTCACGCAGCTGCTTGAAGGAGGTGCAGCCATGTCCTGTATTTGTGGCCCTAGGAGTTCTGAAACATTTTTTGGGAACTGAGTCTAAGTTTGCCTAATCCTAAAATGTAGCCCAACACATTGGAGGGCATGGCTGGAGAAAATGAATTCCCCAAGAATGTTTGCTAAAATTAATGGGAAATTTGCTACTTATATAAACTAGATATGGAAGTCATCACATAGAAACAAAGGCAGACCATTCCTCTTGAAGCAGGTACAACTATCTGAAGGAAATCAGAGAAAGAAAACCAGAGTCCACAATCTGTTTACAATCTGAGACAACATGCCTGGAGAGCATATTTCCAGATTTGTTATTGGAAAAATTTAACCATTAGCAAAAAGAGGAGTGTAGGGAAGGAAGAGGCCACTGGTTATCTTCAGGCCTTCTAGCTATGGAACTGTTCAGGTTGAAAGTAATCCTCCAATGTCAACATGGTAAAGTTAATCAGAGAGAAATTTAAAAGAATTTTTTACAGTCTGAGAAGTCCTACTTCCTAATTTCTGCTGAGGAGAAAAACATAAAAACTAAGTTGAATATTCTTTGGATTAAGTTAGATTACATTATCTAAATTAAGGGGAAAACATTTATATTTCAAATTACCATATTTAAAAGCAGGCTGGAATTTTCTGTTGTTTCAGCTGCAATTTTAATACATTTGCAAATTATCTATTTTTTTAAATAATATTAAGAAACAGGTAGTCCTCGATTTATAACCTCAATTGAGCCCAAAATTTCTGTTGCTAAGTGAGACATTTGTTAAGTGAGTTTTGCCCCATGTTACAACCTTTCTTGCCACAGTTGTTAAGTGAATCACGGCAGTTGTTAAATTAGTAACACAATTGTTAAGTGAATCTGGCTTCCCCATTGACTTTGCTTTTCAGGAGGCTGCAAAAGGGAATCGCATGACCCTGAGACACTGCAACAGTCATAAATATAAGTCCGTTGTCAAGCATCTGAATTTTGATCATGTGACCATGGGGATATCACAACTTTTGTAAGGGTAAAAACGGTCATAAATCTCTTTTTTTCAGCACTGTTGTAACTTTGAACAGTCATTAAATAAACTATTGTAAGCAGAAGACTACCTGTATTGCGCTAAGGATGGAGAGTTTGTACCTTTCTAGATAATTGATCTGATTATCTGATCAAACTGATGTCAACCGTTAGCAATACACAAATAGATATTTTTTTCATGACAATCTGTCCCTAACAATTAGAATGATGTTCTTGGTCATTCAGGTCTTCCAGCACTGAACCTTCCCTCTTGTAATTGAGACCATCCATCCTGGTACTGGTTCATCCTCTTTTTCCCCCTTTCTTTCCATCTTTCCCAGCATTAGAGCTTTTCCCAGAGATCTGAGGCTTTGCGCCATGTCTCCAAAATAGGATAATTTGAGCCTGATCATTTGTGCCTTGAGTGAGAACCCTGAATTGATTTGCTCGATGATAAGTTTATTTGTTTTCTTGACTATCCATGGGGTCTTCTCCAATGCTGAAGTTCAGAAAGAGTGGTACTCTTTCTATCCTGCTTCTTCAGAGTCTTAACTCTCATCTCCCTACAGTGTCACAAGGTGATAACATTGCATGTGCTATTCTGATCTTTGTAGGAATAGATACTGAATGGCATCCGAGTATCGTTTCTAAGGCCTTTGTGGCTGCTCTACTGAGTATAGTATATTTTACTTGTTCTTTTACTAATAGATGGTTGATCCTAGAAGGCAGAAGGTATTCATCATTTTAAAAGAATAGAGTAGAGTAGAGTAGAGTAGAGTAGAGTAGAGTAGAGTAGAGTAGAGTAGAGTAGAGTAGAGTAGAGTAGAATAGAATGCTTTATTGGCCAAGTGTGATCGGACACATGAGGAATTTGTCTTGGTGCATATGCTCTTGGTGTACATAAAAGAAAAGATGTATTCATCAAGAATCATAAGGTACACCACAATGATAGTCTTAATATCTTCATCGTCAGTTTTAAGGGTGATTGTTGTACCTGTTATCTTTGATTTGATCTTTATATTTACTTTTAATCCCATTTTTATTCTGTGCTTCTTGACTTTTACTACTAGCATGTGCAGATGCTTTGTATTTTTGGCTATGAGTGTATTCTACATATTACTGAACTCTAAATCTCAGTATTCCTCACTATAGGATATGCTACCTATGCTATGGTGGGAGTTAAGGTTGAGAACATTTTGAAATCCACTGTGCTCCACTCCTAACCTAGCATTTTGTACTTGTTCTGTAATGTTTTAGATCTATATTCATCCTCATTAGTCTTTGCTGAAAGGTAATACAGTACCCTGACATACTCCCTGATCTTACATGTGAGTACTCATAAGCGGTCTATCTGTATTCCTATTCAGTGGACAACACAGAAGATATGCTCTTTTGTAATAGAATAGTTGATCCAGGGACAACAGATCCAGGGCATTGCAACTATCTATAGGCTAAGACATTTCCCCCAGTTTAGGAGCTGTACTATACTAGTTGCAAGATGTTTTGGATTCTAAAAAATTAGGGTTCTGAATGACATCATTTTCTTTTCAGTGACATATAGCATCTTCTAGAGTTATTCGGCCATCATTGTGCAGAAATCTAAGGTGACAAAACTTTGGAACTGGAGAAGTCCAGCTGGCCACTAAGAGATACAAAAATCCCTAACTCTGGCATCCAGTGGTTGTCCAAATTTTTGCAGACCAAATATAGTAGTCTTATATATAATGATAATTAGATCAAGCTTTGTATTGGGCCAGTGAGGTAACACAACAAATCACAGCAAGTATCTGGTAGAGAAATTTCTGGGCTCTTACAGTCAGTCCTACCCAGTGGTGGGTTGCCCCCGGTTCGCACCGGTTCTATAGAACTGGTAGTAAAACTGGCAGGAGGCTCCGCCCACCGACCCCGACGTCATCAAAATGCTTCTGTGCATGCGCAAAAGCTTCTGTGTGAGTGAAGCAAGTGCTTGCAGCCCCGCTGCAAACCGGTAGTAAAGGTAAGTAGAACCCACCCCTGGTCCTACCATACTAATAGTGTATCCTACTGATTGTTTCTGGGATAAATGAACATGTTGGCTTTGACCTTCAAAGTTGTATACCCTTTAGGATCAGAATATTTAAATATTGTTTCTCCATGTATGAACTTAGCCCAGTGCAGGCGACTTTTCCTCACTTTCACCTAACTTTGGTACCAGCATATTGCAGTGATCTGTTTATTCTGCCAAATCCTTATGATATTAGCTTTACTCATTCTAGCCACTGAATGAGACAAGGTTAAGTCGTCTTTAGCTGTACTAATGCCAAAAGGTTTCCTGCCTTAAGCTGGCAGTATCCAGCGAGCACCATGGAGTGTGCAAAATCTGTTCTGCTCTGCCACCCATGGAGTTGGAGGTGAGGTCAGCATGGATGGGATTAGAGAAGTGCTTCAGTGGCTGTTCCAGGCATGCTGCATCGAGACCCACATTAGCCTCCTCTGCCCTCATTCTGCTGCCTTTTACCTAGAGGGCAGGAGCAGGACACAGTGATGGTGTGCCGGTGGCTTCTCAGAATTTCACAGTGATACTGTCCTGTTCAGCCTGCAGTCCTTTAGTGTTGTAGCTCTATGGATCTTAAAATTTGAGCATGACGAGACCTCTCCCCCTTCCCCACCTCTCAACCTGAGAGGAAGCATTTCTGGCCTGTGTAAAGAAAAGAAAGACGGGGGAATCAGAAGTAAAAGTGTGGTGACTCAGCTCCCTCTGGGATTCCAGTTTGTTTTTCTTTTACTTATTGAGCTCGGATTACAAGAGCTTTAGGAGAGGGGCCTAGGAGAAAGCCTAGGGCTGACCAAATCTGGCAGCCAGACCCACCTCATTCCTGCTATAGGCCCAGGATTGGTAGACATTTTTTCATGCCTGCTAGTGATATACGGGAATGAGAGAATAATAGTGTTGCAGAAATCAACCACTCTTTTTGCTTATCCCCATTGCACATACACACACACACACACACACAAACAGGCCTGCACATTTGGGAGTGAGTCAGAACAGAGGCCAGAGGGAGTGCGGGGATCCACAATGAGGACAAGAAAAGTAATGATAATTAGTTTTTCTTTGCCAACTCAAGGATAGGTGGGTGGTATTTAACTCTGTAGAGAGAAAAGGCCCCAATAACATTTTTAAAATTATCTTGCCTTTATTATTTTTATAAGTTATTCAAGGCAGTGAACATACCTCAATTCAATTCAAATCTTTATTGTCAGTGCACAACATATGTACAATTGAGATTGGTTGAGCTCCCTCAATGCATCCCCCAACACAATATAACTTACAGTGAAGACAGAAAATCGCTAACCCAATAAATCATATTAACCAAACACCCAGTCCTATTGCACCAGTGTGAACATGTTACACGTTGCACTGGCCCTGCAAGTCCATTGTACTACGTAGTTATGGTGTTATTTTACATTCAGGAGTCTGACAGCCCACGGATAAAAACTGTTCTTCAGCCTGTTTGTGCGGCTGACTACGCTTCTATATCTCCTTCCCGATGGTAGGAGCAGTGGTGGGTTGCCCCCAGTTCGGACTGGTTGCTAAGATCTGGTAGTAAAACTGGCGGAAGGCTCCACCCACTGACCCAGCCGTCATCATAAGTGATTTACGCATGCGCAGAAGAGCGTGCGTGCGTGCAATGCGAACCGGTAGTTATGGTAAGTAGAACCCACTCCTGGGTAGGAGGGTAAAGAAGTGGTGAGCGGGGTGTGAGTCATCCCTAATATTCCTTCCTCCTCATATTTTTCCCACAGCGGCAATCCTGTGAGGTGGGTCTGGGCTGAGAGAGAGAGTGACTGGTCCAAAGTCACTCAAGCTGACTTTCCTGCCTAAGGCAAGACTAGAACTCACAGTCTCCTGGTTTCTAGGCCAGCAGCTTAACTACTAACCAAACTGTTTCTCAATGCAATGATTTGCTGAGGTTTTGAGTTACTTATCCTCCTAGCCTTCCAAACTGGCTTTTCCCACAAGAGCTGGGAGTGGGTGAGATGGACAAGAAGATTTAATGAAGCACTGAATGTGGAAGCTTAACTTCGGAAGCTTAAACATTAAATATTTATGGCTTTAATAGATATATGTATTGTTTCATTTTATTACTGCTGTTGTTTAATTGTTGATTGTTTAATTGTCTGATGCAAGATGAGTGGCTTTATAAATGGCTTAAATTAAATTAAATTAAATTAAATAAATAATGCTGTCTTATCACACTCTCCCCCCCCTCCCGTAGTTACTCCCTTAAAAGAGCGCGGACTAACTGTGGACATAATTTATAGAAGGTTCAGTAAAGTTCTCATTATATTTTAACCAATTAAACCTGAAATAGTTAATCAGAATTTCCTGTCATGATTGGAAAAATATTGTCAAAAATAATTGATCAGAAACTTTCCCCCAAAAGAGAAGCATTTCATCTGAGATGCCTCATCCTCTTTTCTAGATCAAATGGTCTTCCACATTTTTGTGAACAAGTTATAATGAGTCAGCAGTGTGTGGCAGCAGCCAAAAATAGTTAATACAATCCTTGGTTGTATAAACAGAGGCATAGAATCAAAAACAGGTGAAGTATTAGTACCACTTTATAAATCCTTTATAAAAACCACACCTGGAGTACTGCATCCAGTTTTGGTCACCACCAGGGTTGCTATTCATCAGGTTCTGACAGATTCTGGAGAACCAGTAGTGAAAATTTTGATTAGTTCGGAGAACTGGCAAATACCACCTCTGGCGGCCCCAGAGTGGGGAGGGAATGGGGATTTTGCAATATCCTTCCCCTGCCACACCCACCAAGCCACGCCCACCAAGCCACGCCCACAGAACCGGTAGTAAAAAAAATTGAATTCCACCACTGGTCACCACATTACAAAAAAGATGTTGAGACTTTGGGGAAAGTGCAGAGAAAAGCAACTAAAATGATTATAGGCCTGGAGACTTAAACATATGAAGAACGGTTGCAGGAATTGGGTATGGCCAGTCCAGAGAACAGAAGGATAGAGGGGACATGATAGCAGTATTCCAGTATTTGAGGGGCTGCTACAAAGAAGAGGGAGTCAACTTATTTTTCAAAGCACCAGAAGGCAAGACAAGAAACAATGGATGGAAACTAATCACGGAGAGAATTAAGGAGAAACTTCTAACAGTGAGAACAATTAACCAGTGGAACAGCTTGCCTTCAGATGTTGTGGGTGCTTCATCATTGGAGGATTTTAAGAAGAGCCTGGACAACGACTCGTCTGAAATGGCACAGGGTGTCCTGCTTGAGCAGGCAGTTGGACTAGAAGACCTCCAAGGTCCCTTCCAGCTCTATTCTGAATTGAATTGAAATAAGTTAGGGTGAAGAAGGAGAAACAGCTAACCCTTCAGAAAGCCAGCCCCTCGTTTTCTTTTTTAAATGATTCGGTCTTCTCTGCTCTTCACAAGTTAACTGCAGTACACCCACTTCTTTCTTTCTTTAATAAAGCATTCCTAGACTTCTTAGACTATGCTGTCAACTTCCCCATTCAACACTTTCCTAGCCACTCCTGTCGTTTCTCTTCACTTTTGTCCTAGTGGCAGGACTACTTCCGGTTCCTTTTATGGGCACATGTGTCTATGGAGGCGGTGCATATATTTATAAATCTCTTGCAACAGCTGGGGCAACATTGCCCTTGTGTTTGTTTTGGCAGAGAAAGAAACCCTCCTTTCTGAGCTGCACCTCACTCTACAAGGCCCAGGATGGAGTTAATGGAAGTTATCTGCTGGTCTCACTCAAAGGCTTTTCTATTAATTTTTTTTAAATTAAGTAGAGAGAAAGGAAATGTCCGTCCATGTCCGCACGTTGTTTTGTGTGTGTGTGTGTGTGTGTGTGTGTGTGTGTGTATACATGTATGCCTACCTTTAGGTCAGTCTTGACTCCTTGTGACTGTCTGGACAAATTCCTGATGTTTTCTTCACATTTTTGAAAGTGGTTGGCCATTGCCTCCTTCCAAAGCTGAGAATGACTCAGCCAAGGTCACCCAACTGGCTAAAGCAGGACTAGAACTCACAGTCTCCTGGTTTCTGGCTCAGTTCCTACTCCAAGTTGGCTCTCATTCTTTTGATGCTACTCTGAAAAAGCAATCGGGCTGAGCAAATAATCACACTGAGATTAGGCAGTGACATTGTCCAGCCTTCCCCTGACCTTGTTGGAGAAATTAGGTCCAACTGGTCATCGGAGTATCACAACATTCTAAGTTAGGGGTCTCCAACCTTGGCAACTTTAAGCCTGGCAGACTTCAACTCCCAGAATTCCCCAGCCAGCAAAGCTTTGCTGGCTGGGGAATTCTGGGAGTTGAAGTCCGCCAGGCTTAAAGTTGCCAAGGTTGGAGACCCCTGTATCTAAGTCACAATAACTATCTCCTTATGCTCCACTGCAGGAGCACCTCCTAACCCCCACCAGCCTGTGGAAACTGTCCCATTTGCTTTTCCCCCTTCCCTCCCCCCCCCTCCTCTCCCCTTATGAAAATGGCACCTGTTCCTTTATATCAAATATAACATCGGAACGTACTATTTATATGGCAAAGGAAAGAAATGAGGCAGACCCATATTGAAAGACTTGTCTGTACAGGGGAACAACATGCCCCGTTCCACCAGGCTGTAAATGTTTCCACTCAATATTATCCTAAATAGTTTTGGTCTTTAAAAAGAAGAGGAAGAAGGATGCTTCTGTAGTACATTTGTTTCCAGACTGCAGCATCACCACCCGAAATAAGCATTGTGGTTTTTCATTGCATCTCAGTCACTCTGACACAGGAAATGCCGCTCTCTGTTTCTGTCACATTTTCCACTGCTCTAAGAAAATCAAGATTTAATGCGATCAGCTTCAGGAGACAGAAAACAAAGGATCCCACAGCACATGACTGACATACAAAAAAAATTTTTTTTTCATGACACCCCTTTTAAGTCACTGTTGGACAAGCTCTTGTGCGGACATCGTGTATTCTCATGTGACCGGGAGACCACACTCCTAAGGTCATAGCAGTTATGTTATCATCAGAAACCATCATAAAGTTAATAGTTGCTTTTCAGTAGCCTCATTGGAGAGCAATCACATATTGAACTACCCAGGAGCAGATGGTATGAACTGCTTCCAGGCAGTTAGGCAGAGCCTCCAAGTTTTCTGCAAATTGCAATATGTGCCAATTATAATCAAGAGAACTAGTTTGGTGGTAGCAGTTAAGTTAACAGGCTAGAAATCAGAAAACTGTGAGTTCTAGTCTTGCCTTAGGAACAAAGCCATCTGGGTGACCTTGACCCAATCACGCCCTCTCAGCCCTAGGAAAGAGACAAGGGCAAGCCACTTCCGAAAAACCTTGCAGGGACTTGTCCAGGTAATCTCCAGGAATCAGAAACTGACTCAAAGGCACACAGACACATTCTAATCAAACCAGAAGAAGACATAGGAGTACTTATATGCTGCCAACTCTGATCTGAGACCTTGGAGCAGCTCAGCTTTCAACAGTTGTACCTTGAGGTTGTTGCTATCTCTGTTTTTATCTACTATTTGTTTGGTTTGTAGACCATCCCATTGTGAGGGCTCAGAAGTGAAACCCCCCACAAAAGGCTAATTTCTGTCTCTGCAATCAAAGGTCATGTCTGTACAAATACTAAACCAACTTTGAGCCACCCTTCAACCTCCTGATTTGAAAATTTAGTGCTTTATTCTCAAATACTGTACATCTCCTGATTAAATGTTCCATTCTGGACCCTGGCCATTGGCCTGGACCCATACCTAGGCAAGAGTGATGGAAAACATGTAATCAGGGTGACTTTTCTGGAGATAGTTTGCAGTTGTAGAATATCTCTGTCCTTAAAAAGACCTTCCAGTGTTGTCCTGTGCCACCACATTCCAGGGGCAGTGATTAACACACACCCCTCCATTTTTGCTTGGGAAGAGCCTAGAGCCTGAGGAACTAATTTTACAGAGCATGTAGGAATATGCTTTGCTGGCTAAGTTCCCATATTTTCATGCATTGCACTAAGCTGTGGTTCATTAAATCATGGTTGGCTGAAAGAGCCACAATTGTCTGAAATCATCCATCCTATTAAATCACAGACCACAAATCACTACAACTGTCTTTACACACCTATTTGGCTTATCACAGCGTGTGCAATCCACCTCTCCCCACCCTTTTTCTCCCCCATACAAATACTGTCACCAACATGTTGAAAGACTTGGGCAAACGTGCCTTTTCCCCTGTCAGGTGGAAAGCATGAAAGTAGCATGCCCTGCTATTATGTAACATCCATGTTTTCAATGTTGTTTCTTTTCTTTTTTTAAAATTAAAGTGTGACTAGGGTAAAATTCCCTTAAGAACAGGGAAAGTAAATTTCAGTTTGTTGCTATAGCAACACCTTTAAAGTACTTCTGGCCTTCCTCTAGTGTAAAATGGCATCGTCTTTATTAGTGGAAGCAAACATTTCTCAAATATTCTGATTTTTTTTTTATTGCTTATGATTTTCTTTTGGAAATACTGCTTCTAGATGGGTAAGAAGAAGGCATATCCATTCCAGGCTAGGTCTTAGCATTTCACTGTTGCCCCTCCCTTTGTATGCACAATCAAATCGCACACAGGTTTGGGTTGTGTGTGTTGTTTTTTTTTAAAGAATCTTACAGGAATTTTTCTATTCTAATTGCTGAATTTGCTCAAGGTGGAGGTAAATGAACAAGGCAGTCAGTTCAAGGAAGTGACAGGGGTGAAGGATTTGTGAAACGTTATGTTCAGTTTATGAAAGACTCATTAGCTGAAAGAAACCACAAATGACCAAGCTGAACAATAAATAAACCACTGGGTGGCTGGTAGAGAGAAGCTCAAAACTAAAACGTTCTTCAATTATTCCATGATGGGGCATTGCTCAGGAAAATAGTCAGAAGGCTTAAGAAAGGTAATCTTCCACTCGTGAGGTCTTTGATTAAAGATCCAAAAGTCTTCATATTTTATTTTATTTATTTATTTCGTCGAGTATGTATTAGATAATATATATAAGTATAAGCATGAATTGAATACAGAAAATGAATACAATTAAAGGGAACATTAGGACAGGGACGGTAGGCACAC